GCTCTCGACGGAGCATCGTCTAGCTGTGCCACGCCGCTCATCCCAGGAAGGGTCCTGCAAGTTGATGTGCATAGACGTGGCTTTCAGTTGACGCATTTCAATATTCACAATCACGGCCTCACAAGCACCCAGGTGGACATGGTCTGTGAGCAGATCGACAGGTATCGGGTCGCGGCGGCGTCTGACCCTACCCACCACCTGGTCATTGTGCAAGGCGACCTGAATTTTGGCCCCGACGAAGCCCTGGTGCTCCATCGCCCGCTACCTTCGCGTGCTTCTGATCCTCGGAATCATCGTGCCCAAGCTGCCCGTTGGCTACGCTCTCTGGGGGCGCTCCTTGAAGTCTCATCGTCGGCGGCTACTCACTATACGAAGCACACCAACTCTGTCAGTTGCATCGACAGGTTCTTTTGTTCGCTACCAGGATGGATGCTATGCCAAGTTCATGCTGAATCCACCACGGTTGGTGAGCCAGAGGCGTTGTCCCGTGCTCAAATATCTGATCATGCTGCGCTGGTGACAACGTTGCGCCAGCGACATCACAGGCCTCGGGGAGAACAAGCTATTCCGAGGCACATCTTCCATGACCCGCTCTTTAAGAAGCGTATCGAGGGGATGGTTGCTGATGGCCAGAACGCTATTGCTGCACATGCTGGCTCTATTTATCAGGAGCATTTCAAAGAGATGCTCAAAGAGGCTGCGCGGGAGGTGCGCGACATGCTCTTCACGCTGAAGGCGGAGAGTGATGAGACGGCGATCATCGTGGCCCGCAGCTGCGCTCGAGCCGTCTGGCGACAGGACGTTCCACTGGCTCGGCGACTTATTTCGACATCGCAGTGGGCATCAGACGCACTGCAAATTGAAGGCTCACAAGTTCGTCTTCGACATGCTGAATCATTTCATTCGTGGTCAGACGGAGTCCACATGCGGCTTCTGGAAAAAGAATTGCAAGCCAATGCCGATCATGCCGCTGGTCTCTCTGCCTCTCACCGTCCCCTCTCCAACCGCCGTCGTCAGCAGCTATTGGAACGGAAGGCGGCCATCTGGGCCCCTTTCTCTCGCCGACTCATCTTGCAGATGGTTCGGTCCGGGCCCGTCCTATCACACTCGCCTGAAGATCGGTTTCAAGCTTTGAGTACCTACTGGCGCCCTGTATTCTCCCGAGGCTCTGTCCCAGGCCCCCGCATAGAGGCCTACCTCCAGGATCACCTGAAAGCCCCCATCCAATGCGAAGTCCCACCTCCCAGTAAAGCTGCTATCCGTCGAGCTGTGCGAGGTGCACGGCACTCTGCCCCAGGTGTGGACGGCATCCCCTATGCCGCCTGGAATGCTTCTGATTGCTGCGTCGACGTCTTGTGCAACACCCTCGACTGGGTGCTCGGCGGGGGGACCCTCTTCGATGCCGCGAGTGTCACGTTGCAGGCCTTCTTGCCCAAAGGTTCGGAGGAGGAGGACGAGGCCTCTGGAGGCTGTACGCGGTCAGCTGACAAAATTCGAGTGCTCGGGCTTCGAAACACCGACCTGAAAATCATGACCTCTGTTGTCAATCGCTCGCTCCGTAAAGTGGTGGAGGAGGTGGTTCCCTGCTCGCAAAGGGGGTTTGTGGTCGGCCGTAACTTTGGATACAATGTGATCGAACTCGACGGCATTGGAAGGCTTGCTGCAGCTCACCCTCGCTCTGACCTGTGCGACCCCCTCCTGATCTCGTTTGATTATGGCCAGGCGTTCCCCAGTCTCTCCCAAGAGTATCTGCTGATGTTGATGAATAAGCTCGGGCTCCCTGGGCCCCCCATGTGGTTCCTCTCGTGGCTGTACCTCGCTATTCAAGGAGTCGTGGCCCACGCTGGCCAGCTTATCCCTATGTACTGGCTGCGGTCTGGGATTATCCAAGGATGTGGGCTCTCAGGGAGCCTCTACGCCCTCGGTACGGCCCCCTTTCTCTGTGCGCTGGAGGATACCCTGGAGACTCCTGGATATGGTATTGCTCGAGCGTGTGCTGATGATATAGGGGCGGTGGTATATGAAGCAAGGCACCTTCAGGTGCTGTATGATGTGATGGTGGTCGCGGAGTGTCTCACAGGGCTGAAGCTTAAGCCCATGAAGTGCAAAATCGTCCCGCTCAAGGGGGAGTTCACCGAGTCCCTCCAGCTCCACACTATGTCTCTCGTGGAGTGCCTCGTCCCTGCCTGGCACGCCTTCGAAGTGGCCTCCCACGTCCTCTACCTGGGCCTCCTGCTGGGCCCCGCCGTCACGGTTGACATGCAGTGGCTCGCACCGCTGCAGAAGCTCAAATTACGGGCCCGTCTGCTTGGGTCTGGGGCTGCCCCTGCTAGTATCAACGGTGTTCTGTACTCGTCCAGGGTGTTCTCAGTGGTCTCCTATGTGGCCCAATTTGTTCCGCTCCCTCAACGACACGCTGCTCTGGAACTGGGGATTCTTGCGCAGGTCTTCAGAGCCCCTCTCGGTATGCTCACTTCGGCTGGCTGGGCCCAAATTGGCGAATGGGGAGGCCCTCATGTCCCTCTGCTGCTTCATTCGTGCGCTGCTGCCTATGCTCGAGCTGCATTAGTCACGTTCTCGAATCACACTACCATTCTTGATCGCTTCCGACAACTGCAGTCTGAATGGCGATATTCACTCATGGAGGGCCGATATGATGATGCGCCACTGGCGGCGATTCGAACGCGTGGAGATGCACTTGACCATATTGGCACGCACTGGCAATCCCCGTCGTTCCTGCTGGGATATGCATCGGTTCTCCAATCAGGCAGAGAGGCGGCTTACCCTCCCGACATCAATAACACGTGCGTGCAGGCCATCGCCCAGGAGCTCCAGGTCACCGACAGGAAGCCCAAGCCTCAACGTGCAGCCACGCGTGCTCTTCGGGAGATGCTAGTGACGCCCTTCCCACTTGCTTCGTTGGTGCAGCGACGTCTTCTGAAATATGTACATGAATGGGAGCCGTTTCTTGATCGCGCGGCCTGGACAGAGATTGGTGGACTTCTCTCGCTGGTTCCCATGAGTTGGGCCATGCCAGTCATAAAAACTTACTGCTGGATGGCTTACCTCTTCGCGCATAAAGTATTCTGGAGGCTTCCGCTCATGTATCTTCGGTTGCCGTGCGCATGCCGATCGACAGTACCATTACATGCGATGCCGTCCGCTGTGGACAGCGGTGTACCAAGCGCTGGGATATGAGATGCATCCGCTACTTCCTGACCGCCTGGGGCTCCGGCTCCCTGGCCTCAAGCATGTTGAAACCTTGGTAGTTGCCTTCAACATCTACCACAACATGCGCTTTCGCTTGTACGTCACCGCCAATGACCTTCGATCAAGTGCGAGAGCCGCAGTCAGAAACCTAAGGTTGGCCAAGCCGGATGCTCAATTGCAAAAGAAATGGCAGCCCCCCGAGGCACTGATCCTCCGCCGCCTTCCACAACCCACGACGACCTCTTCGACCTCATCTAGCGACGTCGAGGACGAAGGGCTGCATCCCGATCAACCTGGAGATCCCTATGACGGTGATGGAGTGGCCGCTGGCAGTCATGGACATACCTCGGTGAGCCAGACCTCGGACAGCAAGCCCTGCGACGACACTGATGAAGAACGGTGCTCTGGACCTGGCAGGGGCAGAAATGATAGTCGATCACCGTGCCTCACCCCGCGGCTTGTCCCCACGGTCCACACCGATGACGACAGTGTCTCTACTCCTTCCACACCTGGTACACCAGCGACCCTAATTGCGACGCCCTCCAGAATCGGACACAGCGACGACCTCGACGGCCTCGAACCCGCATCACCGAGGAGGTGGAGTGCTGATAATGTCAGAACGCCAAGTCCTGGCAATGGGTGCTCCTCGAGCCCAGGTGTCCAGGCATCAAGAGTAAATTGCGAGGAGTTGCTGCATCTGTCTCCTGGAGTTGCGACTGGGGAGGTTAGAACGCGAAGTCCTGGCGACGGGTGCTCCTCGAGCCCGTCGTGTCAGGCATCTAGAGTGAATTGCGAGGAGTGGTCTCACTGGTCGACGGCAATCAGAACGCAAAGTCCTGCGCAGGGGTGCTCCTCGAACCCTATGCCGCAGGCTAGAGTAAATTGCGAGGGGAAGGTCGCTGGCTCTGTGCCGTCCCTGATCGTGCGTCGCTCTCGGCAGGGATGTGTTCTGGCGACCACTCCTGGACGTGCTACTGCTCCCTCGGCGCCCTGTGCTCCAATTGCTTCATGTTCTTCGATGACATTCTTAGGGACATCCTCGCGCTCCCCCTGTACCCTGATGGCCAGCCCGTCGACTCAGAGTCTATCTCCACCCTCCCCATGGTCCGCGTCGTGGACCCCTTCCCGCCCTGAGCTCTCTCCTTTCAGGCCTTCCCGTCGATGCATCTTTTCGACTGCCCCTCTGTCTTCTTTCGCCCCGCACGCCCCGCTCTGTCCTCCCACGCTCGGCGCCACGCCTGCCCTCCCGCCCGATCTGCCTTCCTCGTCCCTTGATGAGCGCTCCCTGCTGCTGCCCTCTGCCGCCCCGCCCACTTCCTCCCCTCCCGTGCCGTGGTCTTTGACGCTGCTTGATATAAATACGGCTCGCCGCCCCTGGGCCACTTCATCATGGGCGCCATCGGCGCCACCCAGGCCAGGCGCGGCCGAGCTCGCCCTCTCTCGGGAGAGGTAGGGTTGGACGGACTCCCCTCCTACGCTGTCCTCCTCCTCCTCCCCCTCCTCCTCCGCCTCCTCTCACCTCCTCCCCCTCCTCCTCCTCCTCCTCCTTCTCCCCCTTCTCCTCCTCTCACCGCCTCCTCCTCCTCCTCCTCCTCCTCCTCCTCCTCCTTCTCTTCCTCCTCCTTCTCTTCCTCCTCTTCCTCCTCTTTCACCTCCTGTCACCTCTACCTCATTCCCTCCTCATCCTTCCCCTCACCATCCCCTCACGTCCGCATCATCCCCCCTCTTTTTCGTTTCCCTTCTCTCCCTCATCCCTATCCCGCATCCATTCCTCTCATTCCCGCTCGAAGGGCGACGAGCGCCTGATCTTCCCGCTGGGCAACTGCCCCCACGACTGGCTCTTCCAGCAGGCGCTCCGATCGCGCGTCACTCCTCTTTCGCAGGGCCGCCAGACAGCGAGGAACATGCCTGGAAGAGCTGATCTGATACAGCCCGGGGTGTCTGTTTCCATGGTTTGGGCATCCGGGGGCCACGCCTGGACCCTGGGACCATGAGAAGGCCACCAGCGGCCACTGACAAGTCGAAAGGATGGGTGCGGAAGCTGCGGGGGCCCGCGCAGGACTGGAATCCACACTCTGGGGACGCCCGTTCAGCCCAACCGCGCGCTGTTGGTCACGCTGGCAGGGCTCTGGTCCACGAGAGGCCACGGGGCAACAGTCCGCCAGGTCCGATGTGGGTCCTCACCCCGCGTCGTGAGGTGCATCCGCGAGGCCACGAGCTTCGAGAGTGTGACAGGCAACGGTTCTCCCCGTCCGATGTTGTTCCACCGCTCTTTGCAAGCTCGAATGGGCTCTTCGCCGATACGCGCTCTGTGAAGGAATGACCATACTGATCCGACGCTGGTGTGTTAGTCTCCGTTTTCTGGAAGCCACACGATATGGTCGCCCTGAAGTTGCCCCCCTTCGAAGCTGCCTCTCACAGCAAACATTCCACAAGTCCAAGGATGTGATTCCAGGTGCCTACGTCAAATCCGCCATCGCGCCAGCGAAGCATCCTGTGTGGCGATTATTCGAGCACCGTCCAGAAGGGCGATACATGTGACACCTCTCGTTTCCATGCCATGATGGGATCTCATGGGTCCCATCTGGGGCCATCTTGGGAATGTCTTGGGCTCCAGTGGGAGTGTCGTGGGGGCCCCTTGGGGCCCTCGTCGGTCGTCTCGGGACCCTCTCTGGTCGCCTCGGAACCCTCGTGGGGCCGTCGCCGTCTTGGAGCCGTTCCCGCCGTCTGGGGGGTCGATTGGGCCGTCGTGGGAACGTCTTGGGGCCCTCCCGAACTCGTGGCCTTCCAGGGCCGCCCTGGGTTCCTGCAGACGCCCTCGTTGGCCAGCGAGGGCCTCTCTTGAGGCGGTGTGGGGCCGTCGGTGGCCCTCCTGGGGCTCCCAGTGGGCCCATGTAGACCTTCGAAGACCGCAAGTGGAGCAGTAGGTCGACCGAAGAGCGCGGGAGGCAAAAACATGTCAAAGGAAACAATAACACACACACACACACCACACCACACCACACCACACCACACCACACCACACCACACCACACCACACCAGACCACACCACACCACACCACACCACACCACACCACACCACACCACACCACACCACACCACACCACACACACACCACACACACACACACACACCAAAAAAACGGGATAATGATGCCGGTGGCCTCTCGAGGCCTCCTTGGTGAGCGTTTTGGGAATGTTTGGGAGCCTCTTGGGGCCTCTTGGATGCCGTCGGTGGTTTCTTGGGAGCTGCATGGTCGACCTTGAGGCAATTCTCGGCCATCTTAGCTGCCTTCGTGGCTTGCCTGGGCCATCGTGGAAGCGATCCTGGACATCTTGGACCCCCTGAGGAGTGCCAGGAAAGTGTCGGGCCAGGAACCCTCGGGAAGGAGAGGCGATACACGCAAGTAAGCGCGGGGAAGGAGAGGGAGAGAGGGGGGGGAATATGCTGTTTTGCAGAAGCCCGACCAGACAACGCCTGGCAGTTCACCACGCCTCAACGTGCCAGGGGGCACGATGGCGCACGTGCGTGCCCTTCTGGGAGGACCACCAGGCCACGGGGGCCCAAGGTGCCGCGGGCCACCGACGCCACTTGAGCAAGCCGCCTCACGCACGAGGGTCACGGAGGGACAACTGACCACGGGCCGTCGAAGCCAGCCCTGAGGGCGAATCCGCGTCCGAGGGACCACGGGCCACACCACACGGCCGTGACCGCCCGAAGCGGCAGTTGCCGTGCGGCCCGGGGCGTCAGGCCACGGCCGTCACGGCCAAGAGGGGGCGGGAACCGCTTGCTGGCCCCCGCGAGGGGGCTGGGAACCACGAAGCGGCGCGGGGCCACGACCGACAAAACCGCAGGCTGTGCTGCGCCCTCTGCTCCCACCGGCTTGGGGGGGGATGCGGCCGCCAGACTGGCAAGTTGCCACGGTCACCGCTCGATGATCATAGGGACGCGTGTTGGCCTGTGTGCATATGTGTGTGTGTTTGCGCATGTGTGTGTGTGCGTGTGCGTGTGTGTGTGTGTTGTGTGTGTTGTGTGTGTTGTGTGTTGTGTGTATTGTGTGGTTGTGTGTATTGTGTGTTGTGTGTGTTGTGCGTTGTGTGTTGTGTGTTGTGTGTTGAGTGTGTGTGTGTGTGTGTCTGTGTCTGTGTCTGTGTGTGTGTGTCTGTGTCTGTGTGTTTGTCTGTGTGTGCGTGGGTGCGTGTGTGTGCTTGTGTGTGCGTGTGCGTTGTGCGTGCGTGTGTGTGCGTGTGTCTGTGTGTGTCTGTGTGTTGTGTGTGCGTGTGCGTTGTGCGTGCGCGTGTGTGCGTGTGTGCGCGTGCGTGTGCGAGTGAGTGCGTGTGTGTGTGATTATGATGTGTGTGTAGTTGTGGTTGTGGTTGTGGTCGTGTTATGTGTGTTGTGTTATGTTGTGTTATCGTATGTGTGTCTGTGTGTTGTGTGTGCGTGTGTTTCTGTGTGTGCATTTCTGTGTGTGTGTGCGTGTGCATGTGTGTGCGTGTGTGTGTGTGCGTGTGTGCCTGTGCCTGTGCGTTTGCGTGCGTGTGTGCGTGTGTGTGTGTGTGCGTGTGCGTGTGTGGGTGGTTGTCCGTGTGTGCGTGCGTGTGCGCGTGGATGTGTGTAATGTGTGTGTGGTGTGGTAAGTCGTGTCTGGTGGTGCTGTGTGTTGGTGTGTGTGTGTCTGTGTGTGTGTGTTTCAGCATGTGTGCTGATGTGTGTGTGTATGTTCATGTGTGTGTGCTTATGTGTGTGCGTGCGTGCGTGCGTGTTTGCGTGTGTGTGCGCGTGCGTGCGTGTGTGTGCGCGTGTGTGTGCGTGCGTGTGTGCGTGCGTGTGTGTGTGTGTGTGAGTGTGTGTGTGCGTGTGTGTGTGTGTGTCTGTGTGTGCGTGTGTGTATTTCTGTTAGTTTCTGTGTGGTTCTGTCTGTGTGTGATTATGTGTGCGTGAACTGTGCGTGCGCGTGTGTGTGCTTGTGTGTGTGCGTGTGTCTACTGTGTGTGCGTGCGTGTGCGTGTGCGTGTGTGTATGTGTGCGTGTGCGTGTGCGTGTGCGTGTGCGTGTGCGTGTGCGTGTGTGTGTGTGTGTGTGAGCGTGTGTGTATATGTGCGTATGTGTGTGCGTGTGCGTGCGTGTGCGTGTGCGTGTGTGTGTGTGTCCGTCTGTGTGTGTGTCTGTCTGTATGTATGCGTGTGTGTGTGTGTGTGTCTGTGTGTGTTTGTGTGTCTGTGTGTGTGCGTGTGTGCGTGTGAGCGTGTGTGCGTGAGTGTGTGTGTGTGATTGCTTGTGTCTGGGCGCTTCTGGGTGTGTGCGTGTGAGTGTGCGTGTGTGTGTGTGTGTGCGTGTGCGCGCGCGTGCGTGCGTCCGTGCGTGCGGCCGTGTGTGCGCGCGTGCGTTCGTGCGTGTGTGTGGGTGTGTGGGTGTGCGTGTGCGTGTGCGTGTGCGCGTGCGTGTGCGCGTGCGTGTGCGTTTGCGTGTGCGTGTGCGTGTGCGTGGTTGCGTGTTTCTGTGCGTGTGTATGCGCGTGCTTGCGTGTGCGTGTGCGTGTGCGTGTGCGTGGACGCGTGCGTGTGCGTGTTTGCGTGCGCGTGTGCGTGTGCGTGCGCGTGTGCTTGTGTCTGCTTACCCCGTCCAGATCCACCGGTTGCGCGCAGCCTGTGCCTCCCTCGGCACGCTGCATGCGTCGCACTGGAGGGCCTCGGCGGACGGGCACACGTCGGCGTTACAATGAAGACGCGGGAGTGAGGACCACGTTGGGCTCAGGAGGGGCTTTCGCTCTCGGGCCGTTCCTCCGCTCGACGTCGGGGAACCGGTTCGTGGCCCAGGCTTGCCGTGGCCAGAAAAATCGCTTGGTTCCTCACTCGGCGTTCTTTATGGTAGCACGATGTCTGTAACACACCTCCTGAGGATCATCGCCCGTCCAGAACGATGCAGAAGACGCTTCAGTCACGCGATCAGCCTCGGGAAGAGTGCCCGCCTACCGGAGCCTCCACGCCGCGCCTGCTCGACCATACCGCCCCATCCCCATCCCCGCTGCAGCGCCCCTCCCGTCGACCGCGTTCCGCTGCTCCGGCCGACGACGGCGACGATGACGACGACGATGATGGCAGCGCAAGCGAGAGCGAAAGCGACGGCGACGACGACCACCCACCACGACACTGGCAAAGACGACGACGACGAACACCACCAACACAACCACGCCGTCGCCGTCGCCGCCGCCGACGACGACGACGTCGTACACCACCACCACCACGCCGACGCGGACGGAGACGACGACGACGACGTCGGCGCCGACGATGCCGACGATGCCGACGACCACGACCACGACGACCAAAATGACCACGACCACGACGACCACGACCACGACGACGACGATGCACACCACCACCACGACGACGACGCCGACAACAAGCGACGCCGACGACCACGACCACGACCACGACAACGACCACGACCACGACCACGACCACGACCACGACCACGACGACCACGACCACGACCACGACCACGACCACGGCCACGACGACCAGGACGACCACGACGACCAAAACGACCACGACGACCACGACCACGACGACGACGATGCACCCCACCACCACGACGACGACGCCGACAACAGCGACCCTCCGCCAGGTGGCCGCCGTTGTCCACCACGGAGGGGCCGGCACCGCCGCGGCCGGGGCACGGGCGGGGAAGCCCACGATGATTTGCCCGTTCTTCGGGGACCAGCACCTGTGGGCCCAGGCGCTGCCCTGGGGTGGAGGGAGCTGGGAGCTGCCTCAGCGGGCGAGGATGGGGGGTCCCAGAACCGTGTGGTGTCCGTCACCGCACGGTCTGGGGACCTTCGAAGCCCAAGCCGCCCGAAATGTCCTCGAGGAGCGATCCTAACGCCGAAATCGTGCCGACACCCCGAGCCTCCGCTGACTCACCACCTTTTGTGCTGTCACAGCACAGTTTGGGTCGTGGACTTTGTCGCCCTCAACGTCTCCGTTCGTCGCCGTCGCGGTCGTCGTCGTCGGTGGTCCTGTCCTCCCTCTGCCTGGACCTCCTGCCCCTGCGAGCACGCGCGAGGCCATCCTGGACCCCCAGAGACCCCACCTCCCCCTCCTCCTCCTCCTGCTCCTCCTCCTCTGTCACCTTTTTGGCTCAAGGTGGGGACAGGCCCCATTTGAGTTGAGGCAGCCTCTTCTGCGAGGCCATCCTGCTTCTGACTGACCCAGGCGGACACCAATCGTTCCAGCTGTCGAGCTCATGCCCGAGCAGGCAGCCGTCTTGTGCTGTTTCTCTCGTTCTTTCGGAGGCATGTCACTCTCGGGTTACGCTCTCACACAAGTCGGGCATCTACAAGACTCGAGGTTTACCCCGATGACGGCCCGATTCGACGGTTTCGTCAACGACATCAAAGCCCTCGACCTAATGCTCGACGATTGCTTCGCCGAGATGCGACTTGAGCAGGCCAGTACGCAGGAATCCATGAACGACCTGCAGGTGCAGGGGTGGAACGCCCCTCTTCTCGCTGCCATCCCCACTGGTGGTGAAGATATGGCACGTGGAGATGTCTGGTCACGTGCATCGTCGCCCTTGTTGTCAGGGCTGCGCAGCCCGAGGCCCGCCCGATCGTGATGGAGGAGACCCTCACCGAAGCTGTCACGGCCATGGTCTCGGCTGCCCCGTCCTCTGAGCTTCGATCCATGGAGTGCTTTCGAACGTTCATCAGGTGCTAACCGTCCCCACGTCCGATCCCAAGTTCGTGCTCGCCAGTGCGCTGTCCCTCCCAATATTTATCCGTCGCCCTCCTGCGGCAGAGCGAGAGATCGTTGCAAGATGTGGACCAGAGGCTTCCCCCGCAAGCTCCCCATCGAGGGTCTTCCTGCTCCACTTCGTCATGTTGAAGACAGCTGCAGGTGCTCTATTGGATGACGCGACCGCTCAGTGTCAAAGCCACAAGTAATGTTACATCATCAAGTTCCAGACCGAAGAGGATGCTACGGTTTTCTTCTAGTGGGGAATGGAGTCGGCCTCTTCGTCCTCCCTGTTTTGATGGGGCCCAAAGAATCATGCAGACACTGCTCCCAGGTGTGGGTTCGACCAACCTCTGCATGTTCGATACAAGAGTTTCGCCCCCGGAAAAAGTTGGGAAGAAATGAGAAAGTTGTTCATTGAGAACGCCATCTGGAAGGGCACGTACACCCTGGGCTCCAATCCCCACTCGGGCTACTGGTATCTCACGTGCTCGGCCGAGGAGGAGGTCTACGATCTGGTGAGGCTGAGCCCTGGTTCTGACTGTGGAGGAGAGAAGGACGCGTTCTCGGTCGCTGTCCTGGATGACGCGAAAGCCTTCGAAATCCCTGAGGCGTTGTTGAACTCGTTCCCCGAGCTCATCCTGAGCCGTCTCGTCAAGAAGTCCCCCTGACGGTCGCCCATGGCTGCACAGGCAAGATCTAGCTCTTTTTGATCGGCATCGTCGGCCTCCTGTCCTTCTTCCTTCACCTCGTCGCGCTACGAGGGCGTTCTGAGGCAGAGTGGATCCAGGTTTCGGACATGCGCCTGGCATTCCGCGACCTGCGCGCCGCTTCTCGCCACGCCCCCATGCATGCATGTTGCCTGTGCCCGGCACCCTATGGTACTCTCTGCTCGTTTCTCTCATGCACGCTGGAACACAGTTGCTTCTCTGAAGTGCGTGGAGTGATCTCACCCGTCAGTGCAAGAAACATGTTAGCGTCATAGCTCTTCTCACAGTATCAGGCACCTATACTGCAAGAGACTAACGGATCGTTGGCTGCTTCACCATTTTAGGTTGAGAACCCTTGGTTCTATCGTGAAGGTTCTGACTTGTCTCACTGCTCTCTGTTTTCTCGTCCTCTCGGTGGCCATGCCTATCGTTGGGCCGTGTGTAGCGCGTGGCCGGCCACGCGGAGTTTTGGTTTGGGACGGACATTTGCCGCTTCGGCTTCGTCTGTGCGGGCGGCGGTCAGGTGTGCCACTTCTCTTCTTGCCGCGTGCTCCCCTTCTCCCGCCTTTGTCCGTGCCCTTCCTGCTTGTTCCCCTCGCTCTCTCGCCTCTGCTCTTGATCCATTCACCGTTTTCAGGCTTACCCCAGAGGGTTTCACATTACTGATAATTCACGGTTTGCTACTTTCGACTTACAATATCCTTCGTGCCCGCAGTAAGTTCGGCCCTGGAGGTTGCGAAATTTAAACAAGCCCGAGCTATCAGACGTCACCCAAAGCTGAAGGGGTCTGCTGACTCGCTCTTGGGCCAGCGGGGCGAGAGACACATTGGAAATGGGCGTTCCTCCTGCTGCTCCTCGTCCTCCTCCTCTTCGTCCTCCTCCTCCTCCTCCTCCTCCTCCTCCTCCTCATCATCATCATCATCATCATCATCATCATCATCCCCATCCCCTCCCTTCCGCCCCATGCTCCCCGCACTCCCTCCCTTGCTCCCCCTCCGCTCTCTCCCCCTTCTCGCCTCCCCGCCCGCCCTCCTGCCGCTGCTGCCCCCTATGCTGCTTCCCGCTCCGCGGCCGGGCATTCCAGGGTGTGAGATTCGCTGGACCTCAGTGGCTTCGAGGCCTCCACAGGACTAGGATGTTCCAACCTATATCAGCCTTGGTCGCCAGAAAGAGCTTCGAGCATCGAAGACATACCAAAACAGGAATTGTTGTTCCCGTGTCGGGCCCTGGGAGGCGATACTCTTTCGCGTGTCGGACAGACCCTGTTTCGATGCTTTCTTCCGTGTGCTCGGGATTATTTGTGGGACGTGGTCCTGAAGCACGATGGGGACAGCATAACCCTAGGGGTGTTTTTGTCCCCATCTGTCTGGCCCCACCCCAGGAAAAAAGTTAGCGGGCGAAGAGCTATATAACACAAGTTTGCCCGTCCTCGCGAGGACGCCCGTCCAAGGGCGGCTGGGAAGTACGTGCCCCTGCGGTGGCACGTCGACGCGGTACAGTCAACGCGCACAGTGAGGACGAGCAATCTTGCACCCTCCCCGTGGGTCCTTATTGTACGCGTTTGACCGTATCCGCCGACCCCCGCTTGCCGGGGGGGTGAACAAAAACCGTGTGATACGTTTGGCTGTCTCCATCTCCTTGGGCCCAAAATCCCATTAGAGGCGGGATCCTGGGGGGGGGGGGGGGGCCGGCGAACCTCCCTGGCCCTGGCTCTCGGAGCCTCCACATCGACCCACCGCGGCCTCCCTGGTGTCCAAGATGCCGTCTGAGATGGCTCAAGAGGGGCCCCAACGCGCTGGAGAGGCCTCCAGAACATCCAAGATGGCCTCTGGACGGCTCGGGAGGCCGGGAAGATGCCCAATGAGGGCCCACGATGACCCACGTGATGGATTCGAGATGCCAAAATCAGTGATCGCCCACTGGTTCTTCAGTCATGTTCGCACTCTCGCCATCTCGGTGTTCGGAGCCACGAGACGGCCCGAGAAGCCCCCCAGATTGGCCCAAGATTTCCGAAGAGGCCCCAGAGAGGGCACCAAGGCTGCCCAAGAGGCCCCCAAGACTGCCCAAGAGGCCTCCGAGACGCCCAACATGCCTCCCAGAGGCCCCCAAGAGGCCCCCGAGGAGCCTTCGGAAGCAAGCGCACGGGAACCCTGAAAAGGCTCCCAAGCGGCCGCCCCCGAGGCCTGCAAGAAGCCCCGGAACATTCGCGGAGGAGCACGGGGACAAGTTAGAAAAAACTGACACGCGGGCACCACGACGGGACGCGGCGAACAGATATGTACGAGATCGAGAGCCGCACATCTCCTCCTCCTCCTCCTCCTCCTCCTCCTCCTCCTCCTCCTCCTCCATCTCCTCATCCTGGGGTCGGCGGAATGGTGAAAGCCTCTTGAACTAACTTCCCAGCCGCCCTTGGACGGGCGCCCACGATGGCGGAGCAGCTTACTTGATACCGCTCTTATCGGGGGGGGCGGCAGGAGGCCCAGATTTGGGCGCCCCCTACACCGAGGTGGTTTGAGCACGTGCTCGGCACGTGCCCAGCAGTTATGCCCAGACGCTCGGGCACGGCGTGCACGGCGTTTCCAGTTGAATCGTTCTTCTTGTTCCCCAGATGTTGCAGTGGCCGTTCCGCGATCCCCCGTGGGCAGGCCCTCTTCCGCGCTGGTTGCGCCGTGGAGCCGCTCCCGATCGAGAAGCTCACCAGCGAGGCCTCCATCTTGAGCACTTCCCATGCCGTTGGCATTGTGCATTCTCGCTTCCTAGGGCGCATGGGTCGGGAGCCCGCGGGCACGGGAGGGAGAGAGGGGGGGGGCCCAGTCGGGGCCAGCCATTATCAGGGGCAGGGCCCTTGGGCGTCCAAAGTCGCAGCGGCTGATCTGCGAGAGGAGTAGCAGGAAATGCCAAGGCTGCGAGGCATCGTTGGACGAGCACGTCATCCTCTCTCGGAGGGGGGGGGGGGGGGGCACTCCGTCGAGCCCATCGGGCGCTGCAGCTTCGCAGCACGGGGTGCGATTGAGCTCGTCCTCTGCATACGGTCAGGCACTGGTGCTTGGCGCGTCGCTCCGCCGGCGAACCACTGCCTGGGCCCCAAACGTCCACGTCCCGAGCCTTTCCCGCCCTCCCGCCTCGCGGAGCGAAGCGACACGCGACCCGCTTGCAAGGCATGGCGTGTCGACGGGGCCACCGCCGCGATGGGCTACTCAAGCAGGAGTTGCCCCGACCGCGTGCAGCCCGAACCCCCGGTCGGGGCTCAAGGGACGGGGGTCCATGCAGACCGGGGGGGCAGCCAGAGCGCCAGATCTTGCAGGATCCAGCAGAGCCAGGGGTGCATTGACCCGGGCTTGGGCGCAGGCTCATGCAGGACCCTGCACGAGCTTGCAGGATCCTGCAAGGCCCGACTGACCAGGGTCTGGATTGGCCAGGGCCAGTAGTAGGGGAACGAAGAATGACATAAACATAAAAACTCTGAGGTCCGCGCAGATTTCTCGGATCGGCGCTGGGGTCCCCTGGCGGCGCCTCCGGCACCGCCCCTGGCGCGCTCCGCGCCGATCCGAGAAATCCGCGCGGACCTCCGAAATGTTATGTTTATGTCATTATTCGTTCCCCTAAGTAGGTCCCATCCCTAGAGGAGCCCATGACGCGGCAGAGGTGGCCCCGGACGCCGCCGAGCTGGTGCCGCTCGCCCGTATCTCGGCCACCAGGGCACGCACGGGCCAGACAGGCCCAGCACGCACGGTCTCGCCGCGCCAAGCGTGGGACGCGAACATGCAAAGAGGGCACACCATAGGATATAGTCAGGACCCCAGGAAAGGGGACCCAGTTTGTAGCAGTGCCCCAGAGCCCCTAAATTGGCCAGAGTGACTAAACCAGGTATGCCGTAACATGTGTTTTTTTTCGGGTGACGGCAGTTTTGGTTCGTGGAACGGGGCGGGGGGGGCGGGCGTCCCCCAGTACACGTCACTAAACCAGGTCCCACTAAACCTAGTTCTGCCAACGACCGACATCAGATAGGAAATCGGCCTGCCAGCAGGTGCCCCACCACGGAAATGGTGTTTTCCCCGATGACCCCAGGATCCACAGATTCCAGGGCACCTCAGGACACTCAGAGATCGGCGGGGAATGCGCCCCAAGGCTCATTATAGCAAGACTTCTTATAGCACGCGTTTACTGATGTAAGGTTTGGACGCGCATGAAGAGATTTTGCGTGAGCGTGCGCTCACACGTCAAAGCTCCAGTGCAGTACCATCGCACGACACGCAGCACATACTAGGGTTTGGTTGAATAAGCGCAGCTCCCGCTTCAGAACCTATACCATCGAAGACGCCTACGGTGGACCACCGCCGCACCGTGCCTTCTGGCATCGCATATGTGGCCAAGCATTGTGCCAAAGTCTGTACAATATACATAGATATATATATATATAGATATCAGAATGAGGGGGACGAACGGTCAGTCACTGTCCCTGGGCGCATGGCTGAAGTGGGGTTCTGCGATGCGAATGTTTGTTGCGCTGTTACTGACTATCAGTTATCAGAGTGAGGGGGCTGAACCGAACGGTCATTCACTGTCCCTGGGTGCGTGGCTGAAGTGGAATTCCGCGATGCGGATTATTGTTGTTGTCCTTGTTGTTGGTGGTGGTGGTGGTGTTGGTGCTGTGAGTTTTGTTGTTGTTTGCTGTTTGTTGTTTGCTGTTTGGTGTTTGTTGTTTGTTGTTGGTTGTTTGTTGTGTGTTGTTTGTGTTTTGTTGCTTGTTGTTTGTTGTCGTCGTCCCACCCGCGACCCGCCCCGCGACCCACCCGCGACCCACCCCGCGACCCACCCGCGACCCACCCGCGACCCACCCCGCGACCCACCCGCAACCCACCCGGCGACCCACCCGCGACCCACCCGCGATCCACCCGCGACACACCCCGCGACCCGCCTGCGACCCACACCCATAACCTCCCCGGCGACCCACCCGCGACCCACCCGCGACCCACCCCGCGACCCACCCAAAATTTTCGGCGCCTGCGGCGGGTTTCTTTTGCATTCGTTCCAGTTGGAGAACCTGCGACCCACCCGCGACCCAAACCGCGCCCGCGACCCACCCGCGACCCACCGCGACCCACCCCGCGACCCGCTTTTGCATTCGTTCCAGGTGGAGAACCTGCGACCCACCCGCGACCCAAACCGCGTTCAGTGTACAAATCAAGTTTTTCGGCGCTTGCGGCGGGCTGCTTTTGAATTCCTTCCAGGTGGAGGTGGAGAACCCGCGACCCACCCGCGACCCAAACTACGTTCACTGAACAAGCCAAAACTTCGGCGCCTGCGGCGGGTTTCTTTTGCATTCGTTCCAGGTGGAGAACCTGCGACCCAAACCGTGTTCAGTGTACAGATCTAGATGTTCGGCGCCTGCGGCGGGCTGTGTTTGAATTCTTTCTACGTGGAGGTGGAGAGCCCGCGACCCACCTGCGACCCAAACTACGTTCACTGAGCGTTCACTGAACGAGCCAAACAACGTTCACTGAACTGCTCGACGCCCGCGTCGCCCGCGCCCGCCCCCTCACTCTTATCCGCAATTGCGGGGTGCTACGCAAGAGAAATGTATGTTGACCCCCCCGTTCGTTGTCCATTTTGCGTTTTTCCACAGGGGCCAACAAAGGCGCAAAAGGTGCACGAGACTCCCCCCCGGTTTGTGTCCCCCTCCCCACATGAAGCAACGCCCATCCTCAGTCTTCCGCCCCCTCCGCCTGAAGCACAGCCCCCCCCCATGCAGCAACGCCCATTAGGCAATGCACTCCGACGTCGTCGTCCTCGTCGTCCTCGTCGTCCTCGTCTTCCTCGTCTTCCTCGTCGTCCTCGTCGTCCTCGTCGTCCTCGTCGTCCTCGTCGTCCTCGTCGTCCTCGTCATCCTCATCCTTGTCCTCCTCGTCTTCGTCGTCGTCGTCGCCGTTGCCGTCGCCGTCGTCGTCGCCTCGGGGCCCGAGGCCCTGGCGAGCCGCTTCCTGCTGCTCCGCGGCCTCGGGGACAAGGGCGCGGAGCTGCTGCGCCGGGCGCGGGAGGCGCGGGCCGCGCCGCGGCGCGCCCGCGGCCGCCCGCGTCGAGGCGGCGAGGAGCCGACGAGACGCAATGAGGGACCCTTCGCCCTCAAAGAGCGGCGCACCAAGGGTCGCTCTTGCCCAAAGGTCACTCCTGCGTGTAGCCTTATGATGTTCCGACCAGCGTCAGCCTTGATCACCAGAAAGAATTTCGAGCACCACAGAAGTACAGAATTTCCAAGGTTTTCACGTGCCGGCCCTGGGAGACACTCGCCCGACACTGTTTCGACACTCTTTCGGCACTTTTCCGGGTGCTCGAAATTATTTCTGGGATGCGGTCCGTAAGTACGGTGGGAGCCACATCAGTGTAGCCGAGAGGAGGAGCGGTGCAGTGCAGAGGAGGGCGAAAAGCAGCATCCAGAGGGCCGCCATGCGGCGGCGAGCGAGGGAGGGGACGAGAGAAGGATCGCCCCGGTCGGCGGCGAGCCCAGGCCCCCTCGCGCTGCGGAAGAATCACGACGGGAGCTTTTTTTGCTGCGTTCGGCCTTTGGGGGCCTTCCCCGGGCCCCGGGGCCGTCCAAGCACGATTCGGGATGAAAACCCGGTCCTGGGGAATGGGTCGAGACCTCTGGGGTTCGACGTAAACACATCACGACGTCAGTCTGGGAGGGAGGGGGGGAAGAGAGAAGGAGAAGGCCTTCTCAGAAGAGAGCGGGGCTTCTCAGAAGGCCTCGGGCCGCCTAAGAGGTTTTTGTTCCTGCGTCTTCGGGGAAGGCTCAGAAAACTTGCTCAGAAGGCAGGGGGGACCTCCGAGCCGTCGGAGGAGGCCCAGCCCTGCTCGCTTTCCCCCTGGGCTCGCCGCAGAGTCAGGAAGGAGGCGGGTCCTGAGGGAAACGGGTCCTGAGGTTTTTGTTGCCGCTTTCGGACTTCTTGGGCCCTCCACGGAGCCGAGCAGTACTGCGGCGCCCATCGGGTCGGCCAAACACCGAAGAAGGACAAGCTGCATAAGCGGAAACGTTCGGTGTTTCGCGCGGATATTTCTTGGATCTGCGCCCGACCCCCCTGGCGTCGCCTCTGACGCCGCCTGGGGCGCGCTCCGCACGCCAGCGAGGGGGGTCCAGCGCGGATCCGAGACATCCGCACGGTTCTCCAAAAGTCTATGTTTGTTTACGCCAGTTTCTTGCTCCTCTCGAACGTGCATGATTTATTATGCACATCAGCCACACTGGGCGGCAGTATGGGGTTCTAGGCGGGATATACAGTGTTGTCGTCCCTTCGTGAGGGTGGAGAGGTAGGCTACGAAGTAAACAGATGTCATATAATTCGCTGTTCTTCCGTAGGCTGTTCGGGCCAAGCTTCAGAGCTGAGGGCTCGTGAAGCCGAGTCCACGTTCCCAGCGCGTGGGAGGCAGCACGGAGTGATTCTTGATCTGGTCTGAGACTGCGATCGGCGTCGCCCCAACATACTAATACTATCTGTGCGTCGCCCCCCGCCCCTTGGGCGACGCGCGCACCGAGAAATCTTACATAATATGCGTCGTGGCGGGCGCTTTCTGGCCGCACCGCCCGGGAAACGATATACTTCACGACGGGTATACCACATGTTCGGGTCGGACGCGCGCCTCCAAAGAGGACATATACTATCAGTATGTCCCTGTGCGCCCCACGCGAGGCCAGAAAGAAGAGGGGGGGGGTGCGAAAGCTGCTGCATGCGGCGGGTTCCGGCCTCGCCTCCCGGGAGGGCGCCAGGGAGGACGCCGCCGGGGGGGGTCGGCGCCGATTCGGGAAAACCGCGCGCGGGCGTCGGAGAGTTCATGTTTCTGTCGTTCCTTTTCTCCTCCAGCAGCGGCAGAGGGTGGAGCAGCATGCATCTTACAGTGGAGACCCATGCCACGAAACTCCCTGCTTGCCTCCAGGATGCCCTGGGGGCCTTGGGTTTCGATGGTTTTGCTGTGGACAGCGCGACGTTCCCACACCAAGAATCAATGGACGTCGTGACGTCCTGGGGTCTCAGGGTTGGGTTTCTTGTGGAAGGCTTCTTGTGCACTGGTCTCCACTGTACCGCATTAGTGAGAGGGCATTCATCAGCGAATGCCCAGAGATGGCCCCCTTGGCGTGCTCGTGACCTCACGCTGGGAGGTCCGATCGCGCATGAACGATGTACTAGTCGGGCACTCCCCTCGGACGCGGTGTCCCACACTTGTTGTTTGATCGAGGCTTCCTTGCTCAATCGAGGCGCGGTGCCACCCTCGCTTTACAATTGCACGATATGGATGCTACTCTCCTCACTCCACCGACGATGTCCAGAGAACGCCCTCAGAGTAGCCGCCCCCCCTCCCCGTACTGTTTTTCTAGATGTTGTGCGCGAGTTCGCGTTTCTTACGTGTTTCAAAATTCGATCGGTTGTGCTCCTTCCAAAATGGTGCTCTCGCTGTAGTAAGGGTCTCATTTTGGGATCGGCCATGTGCCCCCGTCGTTCAGGAAGGCACTCCCGCCCCAGCGTGGGCAGATGTTCTGGATCTCCCAGGTCTCGCAGGCCCCGCAGGTCTCGCGGGTTCCGCAGGCCCCACAAGCCCCACAGGACTCACAGGTGTCGCAGGATGTCCCACAGGTCCCATGGGTGCCACCCGTCTGGCATGTTCCACAGGTCCCCCGGTTGTCGCAGGCCTCGCATGCCCGCCAAGTCCCACAGGTCCGACAGGCCTTGCAGATCCTCACAGGTCGCGGAAGTGTCGCATGCCTCACAGGTCTCAACGATCTCGCCGGTCCCGCAGGTCCTGCCGTGCCAGGGGTCCCACAGGTCTCGCAGGTCTCATGGATCCCACAGTGGCCACAGGTCCAACAGGTTCCGTTGATCCAATAGGTGTCGCAGGTCTCGCAGGACCCACAGGCCACAGAGGTCCCCTACGTCGCACAGGTCCCACAAGTTTCCTTTCCCCGACTGGGCATAACACGATGCGGTCTTCTGTGACACTCGTCCGGCTATGACACGCGTCCGCGGATAGAGAAAAACTTAGCGCAATGGGAAGAGATGGGAGGGAGGGGTAGGATGTCAGATATGGCGCGAGCGCACCCAGCTTGCCCCCCCCCTCGCCTTCCCCCCTTCGCCTTCCAATTGCCGTTGCCGCAGAACGGCCGCGCTGTCTGTGTCCTTCCTCCACGCGGGAGGTGGGCGAGCTGATGGCGTGCGAGGACGGCGTGGTTGGGGCGAAGGAGGCGTTCTACAGGCCCGCGCTTGGAAAGAATCGCTGACGGCGGTGGCGGTGGCAATGGCCACGATCGCGGCATCATGACAGTGATCAGGACTGGAGAGAAGCGTGAGGATGACGACGTGGGTGCCGACGGTGAGGGCATGCAGCTCGCGAGTGGAGATTGGGTGTTTCGTGCGCCGAGTCTCGCGCATGCCCGAACCGCCCTGCATATCCTGCGATTCGTGGCGCGCTCCTCCCGCAGCGCAGCCGAACCCTCGCGCATGCACCAGGACGCGCCCTGAGCGGTGCTACCCTGCACCCGGAGGCAGCTGCCGCGGGAGGGCCTGGCCTGCGACGTCTCGCTGATGCTCGGCCCGGCCTGCGACATCCGCATGGCCCGCTGGTGCTCGGGGAGACGGATCGGCTACGCGCAAGAGTTCGAGTAGGAGATCGACCACAGAATCAATTTGCCCAAAATTTGATTTCGTCGAATCAACGAAATTTTCGATCTACAAAACAGCTGCGTTATTTTTGCAGGTTCGACGAACATGTCAAGTTTGGGGTAAATCAATTCTGAAGCCGATCTCCTACTCGAAGAGTCACCCTTCGCCGGAGCGACCTTCAGTGCGGGCCCCCAGTCGGGGATTGCTAAAGGTGCCCCTGGCCCAAGGTGGCCCCAGCTTTTCGCTCAATCTTGGAGCCCCTGGGCCCTCTGGGCCTCGCCAGGGGTGCTCTGGAGGTCGCGGTGGCCTCCTTGGGAATCCTAGGGGCACCTTGGGCCAGGGGCGCTTCTAGCGACGCCCGACACGAGGATCCCCCCAGCACTCGTTTTCGCGCCTGGCTTTGGCCCCGCCGCGGCCCCCCGAATGCCGCGCACCAACGGTCGCTCTTGCCTGGGGTCGCTATTGCGCGTAGCCTTAAGTCGGGCACGTCCCTCTACAGAAGGAAGGTTCACAATATGCTACTATGCTTGACCACGTTTGAGTATGTTTACAATGTTCGTTTACTTTGCTTCCAAAGTCCGCCTGTAGGAGGGCATGCCCGACCTGAGCGTAGCCGAGACGGAAATCCACCGCCGAGCCTCCACAGGGCCAAAAGGTCGGGCCCGGCTGCGGGCGGATGTATGGCTTGCCAGGCCCAGCAGGGCGTGGTGGCCCCAGGCCCCCTCCGCGCCACGAAAAGGAAAAAGACGACAGGGGGGGGGGTCCTTCTGCGGTCGGACCGAGGTAGAATATCGAGGTCGGTTCGGGGAGGGTACCCGGATCGAGGCCAGGAAGGCGCCCACGGTCTGCATCGAAGAAGCAAAACCAGAGCCATAAACATAAACCTTTGGCGCACCGCGCGGACTTCGTGCCGCGCTGGGCCCTCCTGGCGGCGCCTGCGCTCTGCGCGCCAGGGAGGGGGGTCCGGCGAGGATCCAAGAAACCCGCGCGGACCTCCAAAAGTTTATGTCTGTGCGGCTTCTGGTTCCTCTAAACATCGAGGTCGGCTCGGGGAGGGTACCCTGATGTTTTTCGTGATTGTTGGATGTTCTTGTGCACCCTGTCTGCGAGGGTACCCTTGAATGTTCTGCTCGTTTGGGCCGACGGAGGGTCTCATGTTCTCGAGGGATGTTCTTCTGGCCGAGGTCCGACGTCATGTTCGGCGTCTGGGAGCCCTCGCTGGGCCCATGGACCATGAAAAAAAAACGACTCTGACCGAAAATCCGGTCCCAAGGAAAGGGTCGAGACCTCCAGGAGGAGGAGGAGGAGGAGGAGGAGGAGGAGGAGGAGGAGGAGGAGAGGAGGAGGAGGAGGAGGAGGAGGAGGAGGAGGAGAGGAGGAGGAGGAGAGGGAGGAGGAGGAGGAGGAGGAGGAGGAGGAGGAGGGGGGGAGGAGGAGGAAGGAGGAGGAGGAGGAGGAGGAGGAGGAGGAGGAGGAGGAGGAGGAGGAGCACGAGAAGGAGGAGGAGGCGGAGCACGAGGAGGAGGAGGAGGAGGAGGAGGAGGAGGAGGAGGATCCACGCTGGGGTCGGGGTCTCTGGGGGGGCCCGGCGGTCGAGGAGTCGGGGGGAGGCTTGGCGGCAGAGGCGGTGGTCTCGGCCTTCCTGCCCGCCGAGGTACTGCCCCCACCTGGGCCTGAAGGCGCCCGCGGTGAGGGGGGCGGGCAGGGCTCGTTTCGACACCTCCGATTCGATTCGATTCGATTTCGATGGCTTCCGATTCCGATTCGATTCGACTTGGGATTCCGATTTGGGTTCCGATTTCTTATCGAAGGCCTACTAGCCTGCCGATTTCCGCCGATTCGACTTTTTCCGACTCGGCTGCCGATTTCCGCCGATCCGATTCATGTCGATCGCCGATCCGACTTATCGATTCGAGTTTGCGCTCTCCTGGGCGGGGGCCAAGCAGTGGCGAAGCGTCCTGGCGTGCCTGGAGGCCCTCCAAAGGACATCATGAGAACCTCATGTGGTTTGCATGGCACGTTCTCAAAACATTTCTGGCTGAGCCTCTTGTTATGACACACCGGTGTTATGCTATACGAACATGCTTGATGTTCTTAGAACATGTTTCGTTATATGAGATGTTCGTGGCAGGCCTATATGAATGCCAGGACGGTCGGCGTATGCTCAATAAGAGGCGAGGGTCGAAGGAGAAAACACTGCATGAGCAGAAGCTTCAGCTTGCGATCGTTATCTGATGTATTGTTTTGCCGATCGGCACGGGCCCTCCCCCCCCCCCTCCCCCCCCCCCAAGGAGTGGATCTTGGCTGTTTGGGGCGCCCGCTTCGAGCAGGCGGAGCCTCCCCCAATGGGACGCACTGCTGCAAACAGCCGCACGGAGCCACCCCCCCCCGTCTCCTCCCCCCCTCTTCCGCCCAATGTCAAAGCGCCGAATAAGAAAACGGCCTCCATAAGTTTCCTCCTCTTCCCTCCTCCTCCTCCTCCCCCTCCTCCTCCCTCCTCCCCCCTTTTCCACCCAATGTCGAAGCGCCGATCAAGAAGACGTTCACCCCAAGTTTCAGCTTCGAGGGTCCGCGCGCGGATGTCTTGGCTCTGCGCTGGCCCCTGGTGGCTCCGCCTCCCTGGGGAGAGGCGCCCGGCGCCGGACCCGAGAAGTCCGCGCGGCGGCCGTGGCGAGCATCCGCGGCGGTGCCGCTCTTCGATCCTGCAGGAGCAGCAGCCAGGTCGAGGGCAGCGATGAGGGACTCCTCCTCCTCCTCCTCCTCCTCCGCCTCCTCCTCCTTCTCATGCTCCTCCTCCTCCTCCTCCTCCTTCTCCTCCTCCTCCTCCTCCTCCTCCTCCTCCTCGTGCGCCGCCTCCGCCTCCTCCTCATCCTCCTCCTCTTCCTCCTCCTCGTGCTCCGCTCCCCTCCTCCCTCCTCCCTCCTCCTTCCTCCACCCCCCTTCTCTTGGATAGGCATCGGGGGGGACGCATCGACCCCCAATCGCCCACGGATCGCCGATAGGGGCCCGCTAGCCCCACCCCGCCCAGGAAGGTGCGGTTTCGCAAATTATTATGGGGGGCCCATCGCCGATTTATCGATGAAGTATCGCCGATCCCAGGTCGATGCATCCCACCGAATGCGAGCCCCCCCCTTGATCGTTGCCCCTCATAAGAGGATATGCCCTGAGAACAGGCGCACACGCCCCCTCGTCGGGACCTGGGGGTGGGGGGGGCGGCGGGTCGTCAGGTCGTCAGGGACGCGCAGGCGCAGCCCACATCCCAGCCCCCCCACATCCAGCCCCCGCACTGTGCCGAGCGGCGCGGTGCTCTTCGCTCCATTTCGGGGCTCAAGAGACGGGGTTCAATGCAAACGGGGGTCAGCCAGAGCGCCGGATCTTGCAAGATCCTGCAGAGCCATGGGTGCACTGACCCGGGCACCCGGCTTTGGACTGACCCAGGCCAGTAGATCCCCGATGTAGGTGGCATATTCCAGACGACAGGGCGGTGGCGTCTACCAGCGGCAGCGTCGCAAGCGGACAGTGCGAGCTCGCTGGTGTCAACGTATGGCCAGGAATTCATGATCGCTTGGAGGTTCTCGAAGGAGGAAGAGGTACCAATACCACTGCTCGTCCTGGAGAGCCCTCGTCGCCACGGCTGGATTCTCGTCGAAATTATGGTCAAAACGAACCCCCTGGAGAGGTCCCAGGAGTAGCCGTATCGGTACCTTCTGGCTCCATTTGGTTCTGCAGTTGCAAGTGGGAAACGGAGGGCAGTGGGCAAGGTAGATCAGGATGAGGAGGGAAGAGGAGGAGGAGGAGGAGGAGGAGGAGGAGGAGGAGGAGGAGGAGGAGCAGGAGGATGCGACATCCGCATGACCATGATAGCAGTCCGCTTTCCTCTAGATTTTCGCAGACAGGCCGATCCCATAGTGCCCGGAAGGCATGGTGTCGCTTGCTGCCTTCGTGCCATCTGGCGGGCCAGGCACCACACCTCGCACCGAAGAGTCTGCGCAGAAAGTGCTGAAGTCACTCCGAGGGTGAGCTGGTCGGGCCTGTTTGGCTCTTGGGCACGTGGGTTTCCTCCGCACGGCCGGCCTGCACGTCTGGAGAAGTGGCAGCGTCAAGCGCAGACATCTGTTGCCAGCAGCGCCCTCGGTCTTGACCTTGCCGGCTCTTTCTGCGGGCGGAGGAGGTGAGGAATGGCGGGAGCCAGCGAAGTCGGCACATTCCACTCGGGCCGGAAGAAAGGGGGGGATAGGGAAAGGGGGGGGGGTCGGAATTTGATATTTGCTGCTGGTCTGACACGCTGAGCAGCGTAGCTACGTTTTCTTCCTCCCGAGCGTCGATCCCCCCTTTGTCCTTCCATCCCTCTCCTCTCCAGCCGCCTTCCTTCGCACTTCCGCCCGAGCATGCTTCTCGCGCGAACTCTGTGGTGCCAGAGCGGGCGCAGAACCGAGCGAGCTTCGAAGCGCGTGGTCCGGGGCGGCATTGTTCAGTCAGGGGCACTCGGCCGTCCGGCGCAAGGGAGTCGGGCGAGGCGGTTTGGCACTCGATCACGGCACTGTCGATCCGAGCGCGCGTGTTCTGACGCGCGGCACGGGCGTTGTGTGCGAACGTGATTTCACGAATATGAGTTCTCCGCACGTTTCGCAGCTCCCCGTAGGTTTAACGGCCCTCCTGAGCGATGCGTCGGAGCGCCGGGGGAATCAGCATAAGGGGAGAAGTTGTTAATGGCTTAGGGCGTGCAGCGCGGGCGAAGGCACAAGCGCGACGTCTGAAGCACGAGCAGGCGCGACGCTTGCTGCACACAGCTGGGCGTTGTCTTTTATCAGCGGGTGGCCCGCGATCAACGACAGCACCCAGATGGGCGCGGCAAACTTGCGCGGGCAACCAGCTACAGCAGCTGATTCCGGGCGGTTTTCAATTTGTTTTCATATGTGAGAATCTCCGCGTTGCTACGTCGAGGCGCGCGTCGAGGAACACTAGCTGCAAGCAGCTGGGTCTGGCGCCGAACTACTGCAGGCAGATAGTTCGGCGCGAAACTAGCTCCATGTAGCTAGTTTCGCGCCGAACTAGCTGCTTGGAGCTAGTTCGGCGCGACGCTAGCTGCATGCAGCTGGTTTCCCGCCGGATCAGCTCCATATAGATGTATGGGCGCAGGGGGGGGGGAAGAGCAAAAGGAGGTAGGAGAAGGGGGTCGGGGATGGGGTGAATGTTTCTTCCCGCGTTTTGGGAAACGCACCCCTGCTGAGTCATGTCACACACGCGCGCTGCCTTCGTGATTGCACGTGTCCATGTGCGCGCGCGCGTGCGAGTGCCTCCCGCGCACTGCCCGTGCAGCGCGTTGAACGCGCATGGATCGATTTTGCGCTCATCGGTGCGCGATCAAACGCACGGCCATGGTGGAACACGCGGGCAGGGCACCAAATGTATCTACATTGCGGCAGGCGCGCGCGCTCCCAGCGCACGTCCACGCATGCGAACACAGGCCGAGGGCACGTGATCATTAGCTGGGAAGCTTTAAGCACCCACCTCATGTTATCAAATCCCCAACCCTGCCGTTTACTATCCCCCCCTTTCGCCCGTCCCGAGCCACGAAACGAGTACAGAGCGGCAGCGGCGACAGAGCTGGGTGGATGGGAAGCGAGAGCGCCTTTTGTCTGCCTGGTTGCAATGCTGCTTGGACTCGGCGGCGAGCGAGGAAGGGAAACGAGAAGGAGAAGGCCTTCTCAGAAGGCGGCGGGGCTTCTCAGAAGGCCTCCGGCCTTCTGAGAAGCTTTCTGTGCCTTCGGGGAAGGCCCTGAAAATTTCTCAGTCGTCCGGGGGACTTTCGAGCCTTCTGAGAAGGCCCGCCCTTTCTCACTGTCCAGCCCGCCCGGGCTCGCCGCCGATCGTAGTCCAAACACACGTGCGTACCTTTCTCCGGCATCTGCTGCATCTGTGCCCGCGCCTCCTCCGCCTCTCTTCTGCTTGCACGTCAGTTGCCATGCCTCGTTTGCCTGCGAGGCGCCAGGAAATGGGAGGGGACGCTACATGAGAGGTATGAATCCGTCTAGGCCAATTGACACCTCGGGTCTGTCGGGGTAGAGGCCTTTGTTCAATTTGCTCTCCTCCGCCTCCCCGTCCTCCGGGTCCTCCCCTCCTCCCCCAGAGCTTCCCCAGCACGCTCGGAGCTTCCTTGAGCGTATGCGCGCGATGGCGACGACGAAGCGGGGCTTGCCGACGAGGTGTGCCACGAGGCCTACTCCGCCATCCTTCGGGCGCTGCCCGAGGAAGCCGACATGAAGGGGAGGAGGAGGAGGAGGAGAAGGAAGAGGAGGAGGTTGTCGGGGACGGGTCTAAAGCTCAGGGTGATCCAAGATCAAACAATATCCGACTCGTCTGACTCCGACTCCTCCCCAAGGGGGACCAGCTGACGAGTAATTAAGCGCCTCCCCCCGAGTCTTCACCCAGGGGAGGTAAGAGGAGGAGGAGGAGGAGGAGGAGGAGGAGGAGGAAGAGGAGGAGGAGGGGGGGGAGAAGCAGTGGAATAGCCGCGGTGCTCAGTTTGCGCTGTTGGCGACGCACTGTGCAGAAGTCGTCCTGCACAATGCGAACAGAATGCGATTAATATGAGGTCCTGCCCGTCGCGGGTGAGTTTCTGCCAGGGCCTGACTGGTCACATTGTCGTGCTTGTTTGCTCGCCTCATCGATGGATTGTTCCTTTCATTTCTTGATTAGTTGGTTGGTTCCTTGTTATGCGTATTGTTTGCTTGTGTGCCTGGTTCCTTGTCGCCGTGCTTGCGTGCACGTTCGCTTGTTCAGTGTTTAGTTGTATGTATGTGAGCGTGTATCAGTGGTTGATGTGTCGCGCCCTTGCTTGCTGGTGTGCCTGCTTGATTGGTCGCTTGCTCCCAAACTGCCTGTCTTGCTTGGGCGCTTGTTTGCGTCAGTGTGATCAGTGTGTGCTTCATTCCGTGATTGCCCGCTTGATGGTTGAATTGTTATGTTTATTGGTGAATTGATCAATCGGTTGGTTCCTTGCTTGATTGACTGCTTGCTTGCGTCCTTGCTCGGCTTGATTGTCTGCGTGCTTGTCTTCGCATGGCGTGGTGACGTGATTGTCCCTTGCTCGATGCCGTTGTTGTACTGTCTTGAGCTGTTTGCTGCGGATCGTTTGCGAGTGATTCGTTGTTGCTGTTTCTTTTTGAGCCCGACGATTGAATAGTTGCTGTTTCAGTTGCCCATGTGTGTTGGGTGCTCCGTGAACTGTGCAGGACAGGGTCCCGCCTGTGAGGCCCTGCCTGCTGTTGAGTGCCCCCGTGCGGTGGACTTCCCGGTGCTTGCGTGCGGCGCCGCCCGCAGGGCCCCGCCCGCGCTTGCATCTGCGCGCTGGAATCCCCCATGCTGCCACGGGGGCGTGCTCCCAGTCTTCGTCGTGCTGGATGCGACAGCTGGGAAGAGAACAGCCGAGGGAACGAGAGGAATATTGAGAAAAGCAGGGAGAGAGAGAGAGAGAGAAAGAGAGAGAGAGAGAAAGAAAGAAAGAAAAAGAGAGAGAGAGAGAGGCGCGCGCGACGACGAACGAACGAACGACGACGACGGCCGCCCGCGCGCGCCTCTGGTAGTTCCTTCGGCTCTGGCCAATGTCCCGCACGTGGGTTACCTTTGTTATGTTTGGATGCCCTTTCGGTTCCACGGGGTCCAGCCCGCGGGGGTCCAGGCCTTGAGTTGCGTCTGTGCGTTGGATCGGCTTGGCAATTGAATCTTGTAGCCCTGCCCAGAGGGTTCCACCCACAGTTGCCGTTGCGCGATGACTTCCCTCGCAGTCCACATGGTCTCTCTCGCCCATGGGGCCACATCTTTGGAGTTGCACCTGCGCGTGGGCTTCTCCGGCGGCGGCGTGGAGTCCCGCCCACAAGGTCCCGCTTCTGATTGGTTCTGCGTGTTTCGAAGAAGAAGAGAAATCGCCATAAGCATAAACTTCTGGCGCTCCGCGCGGGTTTCTTGGATCCGCGCTGGGGCCCCCCAGGCGGCGTTTCCAGCGCCGCCCCCGGCGCGCTCCGTGCGCCAGGGAGGGAGTCCAGCGCGGATCCAAAAAATCCACGCGGAGCGCCCAAACAAGTAATTATATGAATTCCGATGTTGTTTTTCTGATGTCAGAGCTCCCGTCAGTTGCAAGGGCCTCGCCAGTGGGGCCCCACCCCAAATTGCCTTGGGCGTTGGAGCGGCCAACACTCGCACACAGGGTCACACCCGCAGGGTCCCGCACTCAGTCGCCCCGCGCGTTGTATTTCGTGGAAATCGTCCGCCAAGCCCCGCCCATAGGGTCCCGGACATTGGTGCCCCGGGGGTCGGGTTTCGCGGTCGCCGCTTCGCCCATGCGTTCCCACTGTCACCTGGCTGCCCTGGAGGCCCCTTCGGAGCAGGTTGGCGCCCACGCGCCGGCATCATGCGGGGCGTTCCAGAGAGCGCTTCCCCATCGAGGGGTCTGGAAGTTGACTGGCGTTCCTTCGTCGCGGAAGGCCGGTTGAGATCCCCCCCCACGCCCCACGAGACGCGAATTTTGGGGGGGACCCGGGGTTTCGGAAGCGGGCTGTGTGTGATCGTGTATGGGTACAAATGTAGATATTTGTGTGCGCGTGTGCGCGCGCGTGTGTGAGCGCGTGTGTATGCGCGTATGTGTGTGTGTGTGATGTGTGTGTGTGTGGTGTGTGTGGTGTGTGTGTGTGTGTGTTGTGTGTTGTGTGTGTTGTGTGTGTTGTGTATTGTGTGTGCGAGTGTGTGTGTGTATGTGCGTGTGTGTGTACGTGTGTGTCTACGTGTGTGTGTACCGCCAGAAGGCACACGCCAACTACACGCTCCAGCGCTCACAAGCGCCCGCCACAGGCGGCAGGGTGTGGTCGGGCTTACATGGCCGCGCCAGCCCTGTAGCGACGGTTGGGCCAAGCAGAGGCCACGCCGCGGGACAGGTCGGGCCTACACGGCCGCGCCTGCCCCCTTGGGGCTATGCCCCTTCCCCTGAGCCGACGGGGGTTTGGGGGGCAAAGGCCACCAGAGGGGGGACCGTACGCCGCCCGAAGGGGGAGCGGCCGAGGGGCGGGGTGTGCAGCACCCGAATGTGGTACGTGGGGCGGGGGGTTGCTCGCACGTCACGGACGCACATTCGGGTACAGCCTACCCATTCCCCCCAGGCCAAAGAGGGGAGAGGACAAGAAAGGAGGAGGAAGGAGGAGGACAGGGACAGGAGAGAGTGGAAGACCCCACAAGCGACGGACGGCCCCACAGGCGCCCCCCGCCCGCAAACCCCCCGCGCGGCCGCAGGGCGCCCCATTCTTCGGGCGCGGAGGTATTTATCTCGGGTGGATTGTGTGTGTGAGTGTGGTTGTGTGTGTGTGTGTGCGTGTGCGTGTGCGTGTGCGTGTGCGTGTGCGTGTGCGTGTGCGTGTGCGTGTGCGTGTGCGTGTGCGTGTGCGTGTGCGTGTGCGTGTGCGTGTGCGTGTGTGTGTGTGTGTGTGGTGTGTGTGTGTGTGTGTGTGTGTGTGTGTGTGTGTGTGTGTGTGTGTGTGTGTGCGTGCGTGCGTGTGCGTGCGTGCGTGCGTGCGTGCGTGCGTGCGTGCGTGCGTGCGTGCGTGCGTGCGTGCGTGCGTGCGTGCGTGCGTGCGTGCGTGCGTGCGTGCGTGCGTGCGTGCGTGCGTGTGTGTGTGTGTGTGTGGGGGGGGGTGGTGTGTGGTGTGTGTGTGTGGTGTGGTGTGTGTGTGTGTGTTCGTGTGTGTGCGTGTTCGTGTGTATGTGTGTGTTGTGAGCGTTGTGAGTGTGGTGTGTTGTGTGCTGTGTGTTGTGTGTTGCGTGTGTTCATGAATGTGGGAATGGGTGAATGTGAATGTGAATGTGAATGTGAATGCGTGCGTGTGTGCGTGTGCGTGTGTGCGTGTGTGTGTGGGTGTGTGTGTGAATGTGTGTAGGTGTGTGTGTGTGTGCGTGTGCGTGTGGTGTGTGTGTGTTGTGTTTGTGCGTGTGTGTGTGTGTGCGACTGCCTGCATGTGTGTGTGTGCTGGTGTGTGCTTGTGTGCGTGCGTGCGTGCGTGCGTGTGTGTGTGTGTGTGTGTGTCTGTGTGTGTTCTGTGTGTGTGCGTCGATGTGCGATTACGCGTGTCGGCCCTTGTGTGTCTTTGGTATGTGTATGCGTGTATGTGCGTGTGTGTGTGTACGCGTGCGTGTGCACATGAGAATGTGCACGTGTGTGTGTGCACGTGTGCTTGCAAGTGTACGAATGTGTGCATGTATGTATGCGGCTGTGTGCGCGTGTGTGCGTGTGTGTGTGTGCGTGCGCGAACATGTGCGTGTGTGTGTATGTGCGTGTGTGTAGGTGTTGTGTATGTGTGCCAGTGTGGGTGTGTGTCAGTGTGTCTCTGCGTGTCTGTGTGTGTGTCGTTGTGTGTGCGTCTTTGTGTGTGGCTGTGTGTGGCTGTGTGAGTCTGTGAGTATGTCTGTGTGTTTGTGTGTTTCTTTGTCTCTGCGTCTCTGCATGTGCGTGTGTGCGTGTGTCTGTGTGTGCCTGCGTGTGTGCTTGTGTGCGTTTGCATGTGTCTGTGTGTGTCTGTATGTGTTCGCGTGTGTGTGTGCGCGCGTGTGTGCGCGTGTGTGTGCGTGTGTGCGCGTGTCTGTGTGTGTCTTTGTGTGTGTGTCTGTGTGTGCCTGTGTGTGTCTTTGTTTCTGTGTGTCTCTGCGTATCTCTGTCTGTCGTTGTGTCGCTCTGTGTGGCTCCGTGTCTCTATCGTGAGTCTGCGTGTGCCTCTGTGTGTGTGTCTGTGTGTGTCTGTGTGTGTCTGTGTGTGTTGTGTGTGTTGGGTGTTCTGTGATGTCTGTGTGCGTGTGTCTATGTCTCTGTGTGTCTGTTTATTTGTCTGTGTGTCTGTGTCCGCGTCTGTGTCTGTGTGTCTGTGTCTGTGTCTGCGTCTGTGTCTGCGTCTGTCTGTGTGTGTGTCTGCGGGTGCGCGGGCGCGTGCACGTGCACTGCCGAAGCTTGGCCCAAGCCCCAGCGTACCGCGCCGGACGGCCGCCGCCGCGGGCCGACTCGACGCGTCCCCCGAGGCGTTGCCGCCCGCGACACGCCGCAGCCGCCAGCCAGGCAGCGCCGCGATGGCCTCGCGCTTCGCGCCCGCCGTTGGCACGCGGCTGACTGGCAGCCTGCGCGCCGCCCGGCCAGCCGTGGGCTGCTGGCGCTTCTCGGCGACCACGAAGGACAGCTCGCAGGTCTGGGACGAGCAGGCGCAGCAGTTCCACGGCGGCC